ATTCATTCTTTTATGTTTACATGTATATATTCATTCATTGACCCCTTAGTAAAGGGTAAAAGAATAGTTACTCTATGTAGTCTATGCTTACTACAATATGTATTGTTGAATTATTATGTCTAATAGATATGATATTGTCCACAGGAGAAGGTGGGAAGGGATGAAGATAATGAAACTGAAGAGCTCCTTGAGCGTCTGCAAACCTATAGCTCATTTGGTGAGGTTTCCTTTCTTTGTAACACTCCCCAGCCGTATGCTGTTCGGGTTCGTCAACTGTGCAGGGTCTTGCGACTTGATAAACAATCCTTTAGAGAAATCTTGGAGATGCATTTTTTAGATGGGCGTATTATCCTAAACAACCTCATTGAGGTAAATAGACTTGGAAATTTTTGTAGTCTTCTTTTTCTTGCTTCCACCCGCAAGAGATGCTGAGTTGTGCCCATGCACTTTGCAAATGAAAAAAATTAATTCCATAAGCTCACTTCTCAACTTACAGGGAAAAGATTTGAATACCCGGAACAAGCTTTTGGAATCAGATATCATACTATATATTGGAAAGCATGAAATGGAGTTAATTATGAAAGTAAATTGTGCTGCCTATGATGGAGATTACTATCGAGTAAAACGTTTGATTGGAGCAGGAGCAGATCCAAACAAGACGGATTATGATGGAAGGTCGCCCTTGGTATGAATCCAGATGCCCAAGCTACTAATTGATATTTATAAATTAGAACAATGGTGCTAGAATAACATAAATAACTTCTCTTTGATGACACCCCTGCTCGTATGTATGTGTGTGGTTTACTTCATCTTTATTTGTTTCCCGCAGCTTGTTGCAGCGTCGAAAGGGTATGAAGATATTATTCGTTTCCTTATTGATCAAGGAGCAGATGCTGAGATTTCAGGTGATCTTCTAACGAGCTCTGCTAAGAAATTCAACTGGATCATGTATTTTCTGAAGAAATCTTACTAGTTACTACTACTATTGTTGATTAACCCTGAATGTTACTGTAATATTAGATAAATTTGGGAACACTCCTTTGCTTGAAGCCATTAAAAATGGGCACGATCAAGTAGCTTCTTTACTTGTTAAGGCGGGGGCGTCGCTTACTATTGATGATGCTGGTGAATTTCTCTGTATTACGGTAGCAAGGAGGAATTTGGACCTTCTGAAAAGGCTCTTAGCCAATGACATTAACCCAAATGCGAAAAATTATGATCAGCGAACAGCGCTTCATGTAGCTGCTTCAGAAGGCTTATATCCAATGGCAGAGTTCCTTTTAGAAGCGGGAGCAAGTGTTCTATCCAAAGACAGGTACAATCTGAATGTTCATCTGGTTTGTGAGGCAGGGATGACTGACCTTATGGTCTTCTTGAAACTATTGTTTAAATATGAGCCCAATTTTGTATCCCTAAATGTAACATGATTACTACCTTCTTTTTGCAACCAACGTGTTTAAAACCATTTAATATACGAATTAAGCTCCTTAAAAAAATAATTCCAACATGTACATTTATACTTACTAATTAGTCTACGTCCTGATTGCAGATGGGGAAGAACTCCACTTGATGAAGCCCGTATAGGTGGAAATAAGAAACTAATCAAACTGCTTGAAGTTGCTAGAGCTTCGCAGTTGTCGGAGTTCTCTGATCAATATCATCAATAAACTAGCTAAGCATTTCTCTGATTGATGTGTATTATCGGTAATACATTTATCCTTGATTAAATGATAAAGTGTTATAGGAGTTGGAACAAAAGTTCTGAGATGTTGATATATGTGTCGAGAATTTTTGTTAGAATCTTTAATTCCCACAGATAGTCTTAGCTATAGGTTACATAAATTAATGCATGAATGCATGAGCAGCAGCTGCATGCAATATTATTGAACCCAAATCACAACAAAAGGAAAACTTAAGACAATGCCACTTTCGCAAAGAACGTGATTGTATTTAGCGTATGCAACAAGCCTTTTAAACCCATAGGTGACTCTCATGGAACGAGTGAAGTCGCGTGAGGGTTTCCAGTGATGCTACCCACAAACATCAAATTAATTTCACACGATGATTTCTGTCGTGTGGTAGAAGTTGTACAAACTTTCACCACTGTAAAGGCCACCTTCCTTGAGGCAGGCAATAATCGCCGGGGTTTGGCTAATAAGAGTGTCCCGCTGAGAGTAGGAGAAGGGAATGTCGCATGATGCAGTTGTAGCTCGAAGGATCACCTTCACCCTACTCTTTGGCTTCACAACAACCGGGAACCGACGCTCAATTGTAGTTTCTGATTCGAGACGTTTACCCCACTTGTAGTCTCCGTTAAAGTTACCCAAAACTCGGATGCGGACTCTGTCACGCCCCGAATTTTCAACAACAATTAATCTGCAAAATTAAACAGAACAACCAACGATCCGGGACGCGAAGCTCGGAACCTTCAACAAAAGTACCTAGAAATTTAAACTTTTCTTTTTTGATACAACACCACTGTTCCGAACCACAATGTCAATAATGACTCAACTCTTCTGAGTCAAATATTACATTACAAACTCACAACATAAATGAACAATCATCATTTTACATAATATGCTCCTCAGAGCTTATTTCACACAGCGGAAGTCTAACACTCACCAACACTCTCACACCACACTTTACAGTCTGTGGAACCACCAATTAGCCTCCTGCTCCTCACCTTAATTCTCCTGCTCACCGTCTCTACCACCTGCAGGATTTTCCCCTACACCATTGAATAGTGCACCGGGTTCACCACAGAACAACCCGGTAAGCTTTCTAAAGCTCGTATGAGTAAACCACGTCCACAGTATAATATGTCAATTTCACATAATATACAAACACATGCACTTTCATTAGCACACCACAATCCTTGTATAACCAAGGTAATCATAATCATCAATATCATCACAATCACAATTCTTTT